GGGTTGATCCACGATCCACATGATCCACGATCCACATGGCGTAGAATTGGTACTTCATATCTACTAACAGGGAAATACAAAAGAAATGTCACTAATTCCGCATCTGGCTTAAATGGAATTCAAGCATTGTACGTACAAAATGTACATAAAAATACTTACGTGACCCGACTGCTATAAGGATTCCTGTCTTTTTTAGAATCAGTGAAGACTGCTCGAAATTTATTCTTTTGATGGCTTTGACATTTGATWTCTTGTGTGCAGCTAGGGGTTCAGGCACCGAACATCACACTCTGCGGCATCGCCATCGAATCCCGTATTCATGTCGGTGTTTAGTAGCAAGCGTAGCGGCTCTTGGGGGACTGGGGAGAAAAAGGGGGGAAGGGAAGAGGGAGAGCCTGCAATGATGACCCTTGTTTTGCCATTACGCCCCCTGATTAGAATGCATAAAATCAGCCAATCAAAATTCGCTCGATTAGAATGGAATGTAAACATCAAGCTGTCAGACTCACGTAGAGCAAATTGTTATGAATCGCGGTGAGGAACACTCAAATAAAGGCAGAAAATTAATAGAAAATAATCCCAACGTCGATTGTCGTCTTTGCAAAAATAGCCTTCTTGTACGAAGTTTGGCAATACAGTTCAATCTTGTACGAATTTGTTCAAGCCATCGTCCAGAGAAGGGAGTAAAGGAGTAATACACAACGACATTTTGAAGAAGTTAAACATCTATGTCGCAAATTTACCTGGTAAATCCACCGTAATTTGTAATTCTTGTGGCAGAAAAGTCCGAACACAAGACAGCACGTACGAACAATTAAAGAAAGGAACAGATAGAACGTCAAGAGACGCCGCTAGCGCGGGCGCTTCTCCTGAAATAAGAAGTCATTCCCGCAAAGTCCAAAGAGTTCGATCGCCAGCCTCAAAGAAAACTTTGACTTTTGAACGCGAGGCGCTTAAAGAAAACCTAGTTGCCAACGCTTTAAAAATATTGACAATCTTCAGCCAGATGCTGAAACCGCAGACATTAAAGTTGTCATAGCATACCAGAGCGGGAATGTTATTGTGAAGAAAAATTTTGACAACATATGTAAGACTATAATAAGAAATATTTCACTGAAGCAGTTTCTGTGGTGTGGGACTCGTCTATCACGATAAGCTCTAAAGATGTATTTAGTATGGAGTTTGGATTCTTTAATAATTTTCTGAATTCTGGATTTTGGATTTCCTCGGCACTTGCAAATATCAGCTTCGTGTCAGCCGCCATTTTCAATTTCTTTAGCGAGCAACAAGTAATGCCAAGTGATTCGGCTTCTAAAATTTGGTCCTGCTCTATCCCCACCATCGGACAAACAATAAATACGGAAACACTACGTTGAAGTATTATCTCCATGGCTTCGACAAACACGCGAAATCTAAGGCTTTTGCCGAAGCCCGTGGACAAAACCGCCATCTCGACGCTCAATCAACGTCTTCACCGCCAACTTCTGTTCTTCCTTTAGTACTACTTGTCCCACCTTTTCGCAGCTGGGGAAATAACACTTTCGAAAGTCATTAAGAAATAACTGTACACAAAAATTGACAAACTAAAATGATAATAAAGTTGTGCTTGTTGTTGTCAAGTCGCAATTGAGTGATTGAATGATCGAAATGTTAAGAATTTTYGTCAAAAAATAGAACCAATTTGATTGACAGGCTCTAAGCCAATGGGAATTTTACGTTCATATTATGAACGTAAAATACGAGGAATGTAGGGTCATCATTGCAGGCTCTCCCTCTTCCCTTCCCCCTCCCCTTTTCCTCCCCAGTCCCCTGAGAGCCGCCACGCTGGCTAGTGTTTAGGGCATATAGTCATAGTATAATGCGATTATTCAAGCGTAAATACACCTGATAAAATCAAAAAATGCTCCTTAAAAAAAACTCATATGATAAAGACATTATTAAAAGTACGATAGTTACCTGCACGAGCCATAATCAAAGCCATTTTACTCTCAAGAGATCGGTCCTCTGAAATACCGTATACCTGTAAATGTCTGGAAATGTCTCTTTGACATTCAGTTAGGGGAATGCATTTTAACTGGTCCGGATAGTCCGAGCAGCTCCAACCAGCTCCGAAAAGCTACAAAATGCCATCGTCCGACCACTGCGTGTAAAGCTAGGCTGACGATGAAAATAAATTCTTATGCAATCTTGTAAGTTTTGAAATTTCGAAGATAATAATTAACTTTGCGGTAATTTATTCTATGGTCTGATTTGTGTGGTTCGTTCTGTTCAAAAATATATCTTCTTCTTTTAACCTGATGTATAAAATTTAACACAAAAATGAAAGAGAGTTAAGAAGACATGAATTGTATGAAGACCTAGCTAACGGTAAGTAGGTCAAGGTAAAATATATATCTTTAGTGGTATTTTAGTCTCAGCATAGTAATAGAGCGAGATGACTATATATATTGTCAGTAAGCGAGTCAGTTTGATAATGAATCGGCAAATGATATGCAATACACCAACTTTACCAGAAAAAAGTAAACACAACTGTATTTGTTTCATGATTTAATAAGTATATCTCAACACAAATATTACTAGATTTAAAGAACACGTTACTTCCGTTGCTATGTAAACGATCTTGACCKGTTGTTTGACATAATTTTTTACTCGTAGCAGTTTTTTATTGTCATTTTTGTATTAATTCACGATTCATAAGTTTAAAAAGCACAATTTTACTCTACAAAAACACTTAAGGTGGCTGGACCCCCATCACGCTTGACCGCATAAACGTGTTTTATCCGAATACAAATGTTTTTTGCGCATAAGTCACATAAAGATCGAATTAATGTTTGATGCAGTTTTTAATGAGATCGGACGTCATAACACGTGATTATGATGAATTATTTGTTTTCGTTTAGAAAACAGTTTTAGCCTTGCAGAGCGTTCAACACTAAAAGGAATTCGAAATGTGCAGCCTAGTTTGAATCAGCCAATCAGCGCTTCGCTTATATCAACGCATCGATTACGCTGTCTACTGGGGAGAGGATAATTTGCGCTTCCGCTCCAAACAACGGAAAATAATCTGCATATTTCGAATTCCTTCCGTCTCGAGTGAGTCCTCTATCCTTTTACCGTAGCGAAAAAGGTCGAAAATCCTGCCTTTTCTGATAGAAAGAATTTGTCTAAGAGCGTGAAGCTCTACTGAGGTATAGCTTAGGATCTTTTCATTCGTGCCGTGGTTGTTTTTTTTGTTTTTTTTTTTTTTTTTTTTTTTTTTTTTTTTTTTTTTTTTGTTTTTTTGTTTTTTGTTTTTGTTTTTTGTGAGATTTTTCTTGAATTTGAATTCTGATGGCCTAGATCGAGCGGTGGTCGAGTTTTGTTGCCTGCCTTCCCCTTTCTTCCCCTCATAGCTCACGCCAAACGCCAAAAACTGGCCTTAAAACGCATCGGACAAAAAATTAACACTCAAATTTCATGAAGTGAATGACTAAACTGGCATTTTGACGGCATTTAATTCTTAGGAAATTTTCTGAAAATGTATTTTTGAAAAGCTGAAATCACTCGATAATTCAAAATTTTATTAACGGGCGAACGCCACATGTACAAGAGACCACAGGGAGCCCACACATCCGAAACCACAGATACTTCGGATGGTAAGCCTGTGATGCCAGCGTTGAAAATTAGTTAGTCGCATTTCGTGTTTCACCGCCTCCAAATAAAATTCGCTCGCAGGTTTGCGTTTTATTTGTAGAAGCTCCGATTTGGCCTAAAGACACTAGAAGGGGTGTTCTTTAATGTGATGTAGATTACTTTTTGATTTGTTAGGTACCAGCAGAGGTATTGGAGTCTAAATTTCGTCTAAAATTTGACCATCGATTGATCACAAAATAAAGAGGGTTTTGTGAGACTGAATATAAGTGAAAATAAAACAGTTGATTAAAAAAAACAAAACAAAAAACAAAAAATAAATAAATAGTACATATTAAAGATACAAAGTTAAGCTAGCTTCATGAGAAATACGGTTTGAATTGGTTGCTTTTTACGCCGTCTAGTGCTTATTAAAGTTGGCTTTCGATTTATGCATATTAATTAGGATTTTTTTTTCAAACTTTCGTAAATTTCACAAAAATTAAATTGCGCTTGGACTTTTTGATCGGGTTTTCTGAAATGCCTATCTATAAAGGTTCTTTTGGTGAAATAAAATCAACTTTGATTTTTTGCAACTGTCTTGGATTTCTCGACCGTTACAGACATACGCTCTTAAAACATAGCATTTGGATAACCAAACATCGTTATGTAAAAGAAGTAGAAGTAGGCTTATATTTTGCTCACCTTTTTTTCGCCAGTTTTCAAGTCTGTTCCATAGTGTTGATTTGTCCATAAAAGTTCGGACATCTCCGAAATTTGTATTTAAATGAAAGACAACCAAGGAAAATTTCACTAAACTTGATATTATATTGGATTATCTATAGTTATCCTTCGTTTTTCAAGTAAAATTAACCAGAAATTCAAAGCGTAAAAATGTCGGCCATAGAAAATTTTGTCGAACAATTTTTCAAGAGCAAAACTAGCCCCTGGGGTGGTTGGTTGTGGTTTTTTTTTTTAAAAAAGAGACAAAATTCCTAAGTGGGAGAGTATTGAAAGTCCAATACAAAAACTCTTGCAAAGGAAATTATGGAGTCCATTTCGATTTCATTTTTACACTCCATGGCCTTCATTATGAGAAACATTATCTTTATCTTGAAGAAGAAGAAGAAATGCCGATTTTATTTTCATCTTTCAGTTTTATATATCCGTTTTTGTTCTAAACAATTTGGAACAAAACAAACATAGAAACTGTCAAAAAGAAGCCACTAGAAACTTGTCCCTATTTTCCACAAACCTCTAGAAAATGATACAATAATTGCTAAGGAATTAAATTTTATGATGAAAAGCATTACTTTAAAATGTTATTGGCCTACAAGTCCGGAACCGAATACCAACACTAAAAGAATTGTTCAAACGGCTTCGAAAAAGAGTAAGAAACGTGTTTTGGTCCATTAGATGAAGAAATCTAAACAATGAAAGCTTTATAACTCTTTATTTATATYAACTATGCAAGTGATATTCATGATATAAATTGTCATAATCTTAAGATTAATTTAAAGACTACTTTTCTTCTTYTAGCACTGGTCCATAACAACACTGGCCAAGACCATCTAAGGCTATCGCCATTTATTTCGATGTGTTTGCTATTGTATATCAGCATAAGCCCTTGGGTCGGTTCCATTTCGCTTTTTCTTGTAAGGCGAGTGAGCGCCTTCAAAACAGCAAACGCCGGATCGAGAATAAATATAACGGGACCTCTCGGTAACGGGGCGTCTCCTCTGTCCATAAATATAACACCAGACTAGCTCCCAAATTTAGCTACTGTGCTCCTTTTGTTAAAGCTAYTTATATGGAAAATTCAATTTTAAATTCGTTGGTCCCTTTATATAGAATTATATACACGACGTCTCTCATAACTCGCCGCTGTTAATTTGCATATACCTTGGAAATTAATGTTTTTGGAGTGAAACCCTTTTTAAATCTTAGACCTTGTTGATTTACGAGGTTTTCCAAAGTTTGCCAGAGCGGAACCATACAAAATTGTTATTATCCTGAATTTCGTCTTTTTTTGATATATTTTGAACTCTAAGATTCAATATCAAAACAATAATTTCCTTCACGCTCTCAAGGATTATGGTGCCAATATTTAAAGAAGACTCAGAGCTCGGTGTGGGATCTGTTTATTCCGGATCAACGAATACTCATCATCATGAACCAAAACAAATATTATTTATTGGATGACTTCAGAAAATCTGTCCGACTCGTTGCTAAAAACCTTTACAATTCCTTCTTGTTACTCCATTAATTCTCTGCAGTTGGCCTATACGATTCATCTAGGCGGTTTTATGAAACATTACAACATGTTACTGATATCTATATAGCCTTTAAAAGGGGGAAAAGAACAAATTCTTTCCTTACTTCGTGATAATCCTTTCCGATCCCAAATAATAAAACTGAAGTGAACGAATTTAGAATCTAATTACGTGGACTAAAACCGCTGGTCTAAGACCTACGGATCTTAAACTTGGTAAATATTCACCGATAATCGCTAAAATAAAATAAAATAATAGACCGTTTTCGCGTTTCAAATTACCACTGCGTTCCTTGATTACAGTCTCGTTTTCACAGTGTTAGCCTCGTATCGATGTCTATATCTTCACAAATACCAAGATAAAGTAAAGAATGCATATTAAACTTCAACAATACACACACTTTGAAATTCTATATATGCTACTGATGTATTAATCGGATTTAGATACATCTACCCTGCACTAGGTTTTACTCCGTATTTCGTTCATGAGATTTAAGATTTTCTCTTTACCATCATGCACGAGTTGCAAATGCTTCAGCATATTTTTTTGATTGTAATGGATACGTTGAAGCATGCGATTACTCCTGCAATCATGGATTCTTGTCCTTAATTGCATGTAATGCAAAGATGACCTCATAAGAAAGAAATAATACCTCAAAGTTTCTAAATGTTTTAGCGTCTCTATCTTAAGTTGCTGCAAATGTGACCTGCCATAAGATAATGCTCTTATTCTTCTCGATGTGTGAAATGTTTGTTTTCTTGCTACCATTGTTTCAATGTTTTTCTGTGCTAATGACAATATCACTTTTGCTTCTTGGTCTGCATCTTGAACACAGTTCTAGAAAGAAAAAAAATTCAAAATAACTAAAATAATATTTCTCTAAATAAAGAATAAATTTCCAAAGCTAAGATCAAAAAGAGGGGGGGGGGGGATCGACAAAATATTGTGAAATTGCATTGTATGGGTTCATTGATGGCCTACGGAATAAAAAAATCCTTAACGATCATTTTCTTATAACTTCATTTAATATAGCTTACTTTGAAGGACAAACTCTCAATTATAGAAACAATTTATAAGGAGTTAAAAAGAGTTGTTTTGTTCTTTAAATTGAGCTGCTCTGGGATAAATGGAAAGGAGTCTATATCTCGTCCAGACTTACTTGAATAGCAAATATTATTTTATTACCTTCTTTATAGTAATACACTCAACAAAATTAATCAATTCTGATTATTGGACAAGAGGAGTACAATTAAATCCCAAATTGAATTGTATTCTGTAGATTACCAATTAAGTTGGTCTGTTGTTGAGCCATAAAGAAAATATCGCACAATGTTTTCGTACAATTCGAAATTTATAGATACTCGTGATGTTTTGAAAGTTCTCAAATTAGTACCTATAAATTCTGAATTGTACTCGAGATCGTGCGACTTCCTATACTAATATTGTTTCAAGTCGAGGCATTTGGGTCAAAACAATAAATATAGAAAGTGACCAAAATGCAACGATAGACCATTTGCAACAAACAGTCATGTGCTGATATATCACGAATCAATTCAGCCAAAAGATCCCTTGGGGGAGGCTCCGTTGGATATCAAACAAACTTTGAATTGAAAAACGTTTTTGATGTTTGTTTTGATATCCAGTAATAATGATATCATAATGGCAAATAGACTATTGTTTAAGGCAGTGGATAAAGTGTAACTCTATTATCTGCTATTAAAATTTGTGCTTATAGTTAAGATTGATGTAACCAGTTATTTTTATGGGGAGATTTCATTTCTCTTTTCGTCTGAATAAGTGGAGTCAAAGAAAGTGAATGACGAGGCGGACAGTTAATTATCCTTCGTGGGATTTATTGTCCCCAACTGATGGTCTACCTGTGGACTGCTAGAAGACTAAACACTTAAATAAAGTTTTGTTCATTCATTTGAGGAACCATTAGGGATGTGCTCGTTACAATATTTGTTTGGTTATATATTTATCTTACCCCCTTAATACGCCTACAATGTTTTTTTAATCAATTGCTTTCATTAGTTGTTATCATTATTTCATTGCTCACCATCAATTCGAAGATTATTTCTTGTCTGATAAAGGCATCCAGTTTCTCCCTCTCACTCCCTTCATAGGGGTTGTATAAAATTCTTGATGTTTGACATAGTGTATTCCTGAGAAATATCCAGTCCTTTTCCTCCATTGCTTGAATATCAATCCCTGCTGCAAACAATTTTCGGATACCATCTTTCGCTTGTAAAATTTCTTGCCTGGTTTTAAAATTGGCGGTGCTTGGATTCCAATAAGCCTGGAGCAAACAGAAAGAAAACAAAATATGATGTTTTGTGGAAAAAAATCGTTATTTTATTATGATTCACGTTAGTCAAGATTTATTTTTACCTGCGAGATAAAGCAAGTAATTGCACGAGAAATATAACATGTTGACGTCCCCAACCCATTCATTTAATCTATACTATTCTATCCTCATTTTGACTCTTTAGTGTCGATTATTATAATAACCAATTTATTTGCACTGTAAGAACTGCCTGTTTGAAACAACCAAAAAAAGTTATATCCAGTTGAAGGGTTATTACAACCAATTTGTTATTGGTTGATAAAATGGTCAATATCAATAGGTGGTTTCAAGATGGTTTCAGGTCGTTTCAGGTCGTTTTAGGTGGTTTCAGGTGGTTTCAGGCCGTTCCTTGTTTTAGTAATGTGACGGCACTATATTTCAAATGCCGCGACAGCGCGAGTTCGTTGAGTTAACGCAAAGGAATGAGAACGGAGAGTAACTTTACAAAACAATTTATTGAATCGCA